CTGTTGTCCGAGACTTTCACATACAGAAGTCTGCGAGTTGCAAACAAGGTATGAAGTGCGGTTATTACAGTCGAGGATGATATCGACTTTACTCGCAAGACTTCTAACCATTTGGAGTGTGCTGTCCACCACAACAAAGAACAACACCCCTTGAGAGGGACCTGCATAGTCGACATGTAACCTCGACCACGGGCTTGTCGTAAATTTCCACTGGTGCACAGATGCGTGGGCTGGCGCGCTTAAAAGACTCCTGACACAGAACACAGCACTGCACTCAGCATTCTATTCTTGGTCATGGCTCGGCCACCAGAGATAGCCTCTTGCAAAACCCTCCCTCCTCACAACAAGGTGACCGCTGTGCAATAGGTCCAATACTCCTTACCGGAGAGATGGATGTGTGATCACATGACTGCCCCACAATATACAACCATTGTAGGCAGGCAGCTCGTCACGGCGACAGTACATAGGCCTGAAATACTCTTAAGGTTTCTCAGACGACCAGACAGGCAGAACCGAATGCAGTACAGGCTAAAGAACTCAATCTATTTTGGTCAACGCTGCTTCCTGTCTCGTGTCGGTGGGCACCTCTAAAGTGAACTTGATGAGGAGAATATCAAGAAGGGTGGGTACTTCAAAGTCTCGAATCTTCTGAGGAAGACGGCTAAAAAATCAGCGTTGCCCATCTGTCTCCCAGGTCTGTAAATACTTCAAAGTCTCGAATCTTCTGAGGAAGATGGCTAAAAAGGTCAGCGTTGCCCATCTGTTTTCCAGGTGTGTAAATAAGCGCATAACCATACTGGGCTAGCATAAGGCTCCAGCACAGTAAGCATAGAGACAGAACCTGAGGAATTGGTTTGCTGTGGTGTAGTAACCCGAGAAGAGGCTTGTGGTTCATGAAAATCTTAAAGTGACGCCCATACAGGAACTGGTGAAACTTGTTCACACTAGCTACGACAGCCAACGCCTCATATCTGTTTGCAAGCAGTACCTTTCAGCTCATGTTATTGTTCTTGATCCCAATGCCGCAGGAAATTTTTTGCACCCCGATGACACGTGGCTCATGACAAACCCTAAGCCATACAAAGAGGCATCACAGGCCAAGATTAAGGGACGATTGACATCGTAATGGGGCCAACACGGTGGATGGCTGCAATAGAGCTTTGCCTCGTCGGAAAGCTGCTGCTCTCTTTTGTCCCCATTTCTAAGGTGTGCCTTGGTACAGCAAGCAATGAAGGAATTCCAAGACGTGAGCTGCACCCTTAAAAAGAATGGCCGTGAAAGTGGTAAAAGTGAAGAAGTCCCAGGAAGGATTGCAACTGCTGTTTTTCTCGTAGTTCAGGAGCGATCCGAACAGCTTGCTCTTTTTCTTCTGTGAAGCAAATGCCTTCCTTGTCAATCTTGCGTCCCAGGAAGGACATTTCAGGCACTCTAAACTAAATTCGCTCTTGTTTAGGCAAAGCCCGTCGTCATTGATTCTTGCCCGAAGACGTGACTCATGTTCTTTTTCATTCTGACCGCCGACCACAATGTCGTCGAAAAATACTAAGACAACAGCAAGTCCCATGAGAAGCTTTTCCCTGTAGAGTTGGTCGCCACATGAAAGTAGCGCTGGTCACATGTGTCGCTACAGCTGTAGAGACACAAAACTGCAGATGGGCGACTCTGAAGAGACCCCGTTAAGTGCTCACTGTTTAAAGGTCTGCTGTAGCTTCGTCCAGCTACTTTCTGGTAATACGCTTGTTCCAGATCCAACTGTGAAAACTTCTGACAACCAGACAGTTTCAAGAACAGCTGATCGGCAGTTGGCAATGGGTATGTTTCCCATCGGACGACACGGCTTACTGTACACTTGTAACCTCAGTACAGGTGAATGCTGCCATTCTTTTTGAGAATGGTCACGACAGGAGTTGCCCAAGAACGGTGTACCAGTTCAAAAATCCCCTTTTCTACCAGATTATTGATGGTTTCGCCTACCTTAGGCAGCGGGTGCAGAGGAATTTGGCAAGCCTTGAAAAACTTGGGTGTCGTGGCTGGGTCGACATCCATTTGAACCGAAGCCCTTTGCTTTTTCCGAGTCTTGGGTGAAAGAGCTCGGGGAACTTGACCACCATGTTGCGAAACAGAGCTGCCTCGGTCTGACGCAACAATGCGTCGACATGAAAGACTCCCTTCCAAGGTGATGCTCAAAAACCAGAACCAGTCGCGCCCAAGCAGATTTTCGCTGAATCCTTTGACGACCAGAAGTTCTAGCTTTTTTTGTCCTCGAACGACACGTAGGCTGAAACCTTCCCGAAAACCTCCAGGGCCTGCTTGCTCTAAGCCGGTTAACTATAAACGCAGTACAAAGCAAACCGCCCTTCCCTACTAGGTACCTGCAAGTACCTAGCCAAGTTTGACGAGGGCTGGATGAGCGATAACTTCATGTTTCATTATGGGGTGGTAGCTGTTGCCACCTACTGATTGAAGCGAATAGAAATGGCTTTCATGATAAAGGTACCTACAAGAACCTAGCCAAGTTTGACAAGGGCTAGATGAGCGACAGCTCGGTGCTTTATTATGGGGTGGTAGCTGGTGTCACCTACTGGTAGAAGCAATATAAATGGCTTTCATAGAAAAGTTCCCGAAAGAGGGTCCCAAGAAGGCACCCTACCGGGTTTTCGGGAAGCAGTGTGGCATACATTTGAGCTTAAGAAACACTTTTTGTTGCTTGTGGTACAGATATTGGGTAAGGTAGAACTCTTGTTTGGAAAACTTCTAAATGTTTGGCTGTCTGAAGCGAAGACAAGCCTCGTTGAAATTTTTTTCTAGGTTCGAAAGAGCACGACGAAGTTTAGTCCTAGAAGTGATGAGGAAGAAGTGATCAGTGAAACGCAGGCGGTACACCGGCAGCATGGTTGGCCAGCACTTAAGAACTGTATATAACACAATCATAAACTGAAAGCAGAGTAATTCAGCTCCTGTGAAAATAGACCTACTACTAAATTACCCAAACATCGAGGAGAATGCTGAAAGCGTAATTCTATGCTCCACACGCACTGGCCTTCCCCGTATAAAATATTCAAAGTAAACAATCATAATAAGGCTTTGACAAATGCACGTGCAAAGCGAAATTTCTTTCAGGCTCTTGCTTTAGAACAGTTACTACTGCAGATGCCAACACGTGCAGCGCGTGTAACTACACTCGCAGCATGCACCTTGGTGCTTGGGAGATTTAGCAAAAGGTCTACTGGGACGCTGTCTGCTTCTGCGTGGTATCAAACCTGGCCGATTAATTTGTAGCAATCCACTATAGTATTCCAAAGACATTGCCATGCCGACAATTGCCTTCATTTAGGTTTAGCAATGGCCAGAATCAAAGGACTACCTAAAAAATGTGGCGAAGTCATTGCTCATGTGTTGAGATTTGAGTGAGGTAAGGCAAATCGAAAACCTCCTGCACCATTCATTGCTAACTAACGCGCCTGATGTTGCAGCTATCACGACCTATCAGTTCCAAAGCGAGCAATGCTTGCTCGCAGGGGCACCGCCCCCCATGTTTCTCTGCCGTCCTTACTTACAGGTTACGTGACCTTAAATTCCCTCTGGTAGGGAAATGCGGTTAACTTTTTACTGCAGTTAAAGTTAACCGGCTTCGAGTGAACGGGCCCTGGGTCTACTATGTATAGGACCGTAGACGTAAGCAGCACAGTTTGAGGCTGCTCTTGGATACACGAAGCTGAAGCCTCACACACGAGTTGATGATCGTGAAGGCAGATCAGAAGTCCACTTCCATTTGTACGCTACAACCATCAATCGCATCATCACAAAAGACAGGCAGCTTGACAATCTCAATGGCAAAAACTCCGTAACCTCCTCAGAAGGGCTCCAGTCTGCTACTATGAACAGTCGATTGTTGGCATTCGGCTCTTGCCTTTTGGCGCGGCAATGTGTCCTTTGTAATTGCAGAAGTGGCGCACCGCCCCACAAAGCAACGCGCACTTGAGTCATGTGCCGCATTGCAACACCAGTATGTTCCTTGTAGAGGTGTCCTTGAACAATTCTCCGCATTGCTTGTTGAGCCACCGATTTCGGTAGGTGGAAGGGTTGACAACAACTGCGAGACTGCATCGTTTGCGGCCCCCATGACGACGCCTTACAGCGGCATCCGCTCGCCAAGATCACCCTAACGCTGAATAAAGCCCTGGATATGGCCAGAGCGGCCAAAATGGCCAAGTCTCAAGTGACTGAAATTCGCACCTCTGCGTCATCGCAGGCGGCTGCAGCAGATTTTGAAAAGTACCGGGTTGGAAATGACGCAGCATCGAGATTGACGCTCTGGACAAGCTTTCCCCCTAGCATGAGATGAGCATGCTAACCTACGGTAGATTTACCCCTTAGGCCTCCAAGCATATGTTTACGGATCCACTGACCTGAGATTAATATCACGGGATATATTCATAGCATATGTTTACGGATCCACTGACCTGAGATTAATATCATGGGATATATTCAGAATTGGCACCATGTGTCAGTGACCTGTAGGCATCAAAACACCTTGGCCATTCACTGCCAACACTTCCTACCGTTGGCCCATCATTTTCATTCCTGCCAGACTAAAACATACCGCGCCGTCTTCTTCTCCTCCTCCTCCCTCTCTTTCTTCCCCCCTTCCCCCCTCCCCTCCCCTCCTCCTCCTCCTCCTCCTCCTCCTCCTCCCTCCCCCCCCCCCCCCCCCCCCCCCCCGCTCTCTTCGGGGGCTATGTTGCACGTTTTGGACCCCCAGGAGACTAGGGAGAAGGAAGTGACCTCAACAACGCTCTTTGGATGTTGATTGTTGATTCGTCGCTTGCACACCAACGTCACCTCCTTCTCGCTGGTCGCCTGGAAGTCCAAAATGTGCAACATAGCCCCCCTGGTCTTTTCTACTGCCATGACTTTGAAACCTCAGAGGCCGGCAATGTATCAGGCGGGTCGATAAACCAAAGATCACCTGTTTATTGAGAGAGCTATGTTCCTCTCACCTGCCCATGTCAGTTGGACCCACTTCATGTTCGGTAGCTCGTAGAGGACATCTTTCAAGATGTCCGTATCGGTGATCAGAATCTCCGCATTCTGGAGCATCTGGACAACCTCCGGTTTGATCGTTGGTTCGTCACCGTGGGTGGTAACTGGGGGATCAGGGTCAACTAACGTTAGAAACGTTCATCACCCAAATGATTCCAGGGAAGAGTTAAGGCCATTACGTACACTTCGCCGTTATTTCGACCACTGAAGCGTCGTCTTTCAGTGCATCGGTGAGCTGATGCCCGAGGTTAGGTACCCTCGAAAGCACGTAAATCTTCCGTTTACTCATTTCTGATGCAGGGTTGGTAAGTGACGTGGCCGCCCCCGCCCCGTCTGCACCTCTAACGCACATGCGCACCGTCCAGTGGTTGCCTCGTGAACTTCTTGTAATCTTGGAAAGGCTAGGACAGGCACCATACACAAACGCACGAGCAGCACGAGCGCCGGTCCACATACTCTTCATAAGTCCACGAGATCCTCGGGGTGTTTTTAAACGCCTGGGTGGTCTCAGGGTCTAACGGCGTGGCTTGAAGTACGCCGGCAGTCACATGTGAACAACCGTGGTGCCGTGCACAGTGGTGCCGTGTGCCGTGGTTTTTTCGCGCGCATCACCTGAGCCGGATCCAAAGTATCAGAAACTTTAATTGAATTTCGGATGTTTCGAATAGTTTTAAACCGTTCGTTTAGATTTTACAGTCCCTGATTTATATAGCAATGGGCAATATGCCAATATTAGAGAGACAATATGTCCAATATATAAAATAGCAGCGCCCCTAGCGGCTCAATGTACTCTGGAAGCAGGACTGTCAACGCCTAGTTTCGGGTTCGGTTTCGCCGGGTTGTGCATCTGTCGTCTGCTTGGCCTTTCCTCGTGTCGTCATGGGTTGCTCCACACTTCTGGCCCCACGGTGTCCTTCATCCGCGCTCCGTTGAAGGTCGCTATGACTTTATGTTTTACAATCTCGCTGGAATTCGAGCACCGAGAGAGCTTGTATGATTGACATCCTACGAGAGTAGAATCAGGCCGCTCCACGAACCTCGGCCGCAATTTTGTGTTTCACGAGTTTAGCGACCCAGATCGAAACGGGCAGGGGTGGGGATTGAACACAGGATCCCTGGGTTGTGCAGTGCGAGCTTTCGCTTTGCGTGCACCGAGCTGTCGTTGGCTATATACTCCGGTGACCTTAAGTTTGAGTGCGGTTGACTGCGTTGCGTCGAGAACCAAAAGCGAGTCACCGGCACATCTGTGCTTTGTACGAAGCGTGGAATCCAATTCAAGGAATCATCATGGCACGCAATAGAAGCAGCAGGGATGTCCTGGTTTCTCGCAGCCGCAACGCAGTCAAACGCAATCAAACGCAACTGTCTGAAAAAGGCTTCAATATGGTTAGACTAGAAGCTCCACAAGGCGGTAAGTTGGGCGAGTTGGTTGAACATCTTCAAACGTGAAAACAGCGCGAAAAATTGGACAAGGGACGAGTGAAAGAAGTGCACGAACAAAGTGCTGACTTTCAACTAAAGTTTATTTTCAAGCGAACCAGAAAAATAAACACAGGGAGCATAGGAAGTAGGAAAGAACCAATCAAGAATCAAAAATACGACCCAACCGACAAGATTTCTGCCACGTCATCACCCTCACACGTGCCTGCCCTTCTCCTTGATAAAAAAGACCTCATCATCCCCCAAGTGAACCGACGGTGCGCTCACACATTCTCCTTCCCCTTTTGATAGAATGAGAAATGCCTCTTCAATCACTCTGGCGGTCTTACTTTTATTACGCGCCAAGATCGTCAAGTCATTAAATATAGGTACGCAGCCACACCTACTGCAATGTACCGCTAAAGGTGTATCCACACGACGGACCGGGCCGCGGACCGATTGATCACGTGATGCGCGGCCCGCGGGCCGCCCGGCTGCAATGAGCATCCACACGGCGGACCAAAAGAGCAGACGACAGTGTGAACGGGCCGGTCTAACCCTCGACCTCACAGCTCCACCAAATGAATGCAGCGAGCTGCTTTGAGGCTATTTGTAAGGAGCCAAGATGGAGGTTCAACGAAAGAGAAGTTTGGCCGCGGTGGCCCTGGCGTTGACTATTGAGGACGAGGAGGACTTAAGTGAACCGAAAAGGGCATGCATCTATTGTCCCACAGAGCGGGGAACTGCTCCACGAGCGCGATGAAGTAAAAAAGTTGCATCGTCGCACCATGCCGCCATCGTCGCACAACAAAAGGTTCGTCTTCTTCGTCTTCAACAGTTGGCGCCAAAAGAACACGACTTTGGATTTGGATTCCAATCTAAACAACAAAAGTCAGCTTGTTGCCAGACTTAACACTTCAATTATACTAAAAACGCCGCGGTCCGCCGCCAAGGTCCGGGCGAGAAAAGCGCTTGGCATTTCTCACAAGCGCGGGCCGCCGGCGGACCTCGAAAAGCGGTGACGTAAGATCACGTGATGCGCGGCCCGCGGACCAAAACAGCAATTTGGTCCGTCGTGTGGATACACCTTAAAGGTGTATCCACACGACGGACCAAATTGCTGTTTTGGTCCGCGGGCCGTGCATCACGTGATATTACGTCACCGGTTTTCGAGGTCCGCCGGCTGTCCGCGGCCCGGGCTTGTCAGAAATGCCAAGCGACTTTTCTCGCCCGGACCTTGGCGGCGGACCGCGGCGTTTTAGAGCGCAGCTCTTAGGGGCCTGTTCCCGGCTTGAGCGGCGTCGGCGTAACCAAGGTCACCCCAAGGTCACGCGACCCCCCAAGGTCATCCCAAGCTCATGTGACCCCCAGAGTCACGTGACCACCCCCCCCCCCCGCCGATGTCACGTGACCTCGGCGGGGGGTCACGTGATTGGAATCTAAATCCGAAGTCGTCAGGACTTCGGATTTAGTTTCCAATCCAAAAATCCAAACAACAAAAGTCAGCTTGTTGCCAGACTTAGCACTTCAATAGACCCTTTCCGAAATTCAGTCTGGCCACTCTGATGACAATCATAATCTGTGGAACGGCACGACTTCCACGGCTCTAAGGGCTCATTCACACTGGAAGCGGATCCGCGTTCGCAAAGCGGTTGCGAACACGGTTGTATAAGGATTCAGTACAATTGCACGCGCACACGATGACATCAAATGCGCGTGCAATTGCACTGGATCTTTATACAACCGCTTTCGCAACCGCTTCGCGAACGCGGATCCGCTTCCAGTGTGAATGGGGGGTAACAGCCGTGGAAGTCGTGTTCTTTTGGCGCCATCTGTTGAAGACGAAGAAGACGAACCTTTTGTTGTGCGACGATGCAACTTTTTACTTCATCGCGCTCGTGGAGCGATTCCTTGCTCTGTGGGACAATAGATGCATGCCCTTTTCGGTTCACTTAAGTCCACATCGTCCTCAATAGTCAACGCCAGGGCCCACCGCGGCCAAACGTCTCTTTCTTTGAACCTCCATCTTGGCTCCTTACAAATAGCCTCAAAGCAGCTCGCTGCATGCGTTTGGCGGAGCTGTGAGGTCGAGGGTTAGACCGGCCCGTTCGTTCTGTCGTCTGCTCCTTTGGTCCGCCGTGTGGATGCTCATTCCTGCCGGGCGGCCCGCGGGCCGCGCATCGCGTGATCAGTGGGGAAGGAACGGAAAGAAAGGGAATGCTCCCTCGCCCTCACGCTCACGCACCTCCCCGTTTGTCCACTGTACACCCTACCACATGTGAAGGGGATCTGATACACAACCCCTAGTGCGCATGCAGTGGCGTATCAACTTGTTTCTGAATGGGGGGGCAAACCAGACCCCCCCCCCCCCCAACCCCCCCCCACCCCCGGGCCGAGGGGCGGCAGAGTGTCGAACCGGAACCGAACCGGACCTGAACAGAACCGAAATTTTCGCCGCCATCTTGGAACTGAACCGGAAAAAAGTTTAACGGTAACCAGTTCAAAATGGTTCAGGGTGATATTTTTTTCATTACAAAATGAGTGTTGGAGAAGTAAAAATTGGCAGCTGTATTTCTATGTAGTGATCAAATTGTCATATACCTATCTGCAATGTATGAAAAATTGTGGGTTCTCGTGGCGCTTTTCTATCGGCACTACGATCAATCGTGTGTCACGTCGTCATATCATGTCATGATGCCAAAATATGCTGGCAAACTATGTCACTTCACGCGTCCTTGTGACGTATCGCGTGACTCACCACGCCAAGTCGACTTAAAGGAGTCATGAAACGCTTTTTCAACTTTTTTCTGTTTAGCTTTCCTCCTCAAGTCATAAACCGCGCATTGTACCAAACAGTTCAAGAGGTCGGAAAGGGGGGAGTCCCCTCTTGCTCGGAATCTCGCTCGTGTAGCCGATCACAGCTATTGTCCCCCTAGAAGATTAGCCCGTCGCTCAAAATTCCGACTATAGTCAGTTACAGGTTAAGAAGGTAGCGGCAAATGCCCCTCAAAGGGAATCAGATATCCCTCCGCCACCTCCGCATCCAATAGCGTCCCACAGTTTCCGTGACGTCGCGGCCAACACGCGAGGAAGGGCTTGCCTTTCTGTACAAATTTGCTTTATCTTTCGACTTTTACTTAGCATTGTGGAAGGCACGAGAGGGAGATTAGAGTTCTTCCCCACCGAGGGAAACAAATACGACTTTCGGGGATTAGCTTCCCCCCCGATGGATACAAAGGCTGCTTTCAGGGGCTCGGTTCTCCCTCCAATGAATATAAGTGGGACCGGAGACAAGTTGGAATCCATTGAAGCGGAACAAGGAGTGTTTCCAGTGAACTCTTCTTTCGACTGCGGAGCGATTCAAAACGGGCGCATCACGCTTGTGGGAGGAGCTTCTCCTACCTTCTTGACTTGTAATTCCGACTATAGTTGCTTTCCCCACCCCGTTCACCCCGAAGCTGACAGTTCTGTGGAAGCTACGTGCTCGTTGGGCTAGCCACACATTTTCCACGTGATCACGCTCTCTCGCGCATACCGACCCGCAGAGAATGAGGTCAGCTGATGAAAGGGAGGCGGCTGATTGGTCCGGCAAGCGCGTAGCTTCCACCGCAATGTCAGCTTAGGGGTAAAGGGATTAAGTGAGGTCCGGTATCGTGTGACGTGCGCTTGGGCTCTGGTGACGCGCTGCGGGGGCCCGGTTGTGGTGGCTAGTAGCCCGGTGACGCGCTGCGGGGTCCGCGGATGTATCACAGTGAAAAGGCGGAGAGTTTACGAAGGGAAGGAGGTACGAAATAGTCCGCTATGTTTTGCAAATTTTCGTAGCGAAAGTCAGGCTTCTGGCTTTCTACCTTTGTTCTTTTGGCCCACTGAACGATGTGCTATTAGTAAAATCCCAATATAAATTGATTTACTCCAGCCCAAATTCGTTTCATGGGTCCTTTAAATTGAGTACGTCACTTTAGAAGAAATTTTCCCGCTGAATTTAGATGGAGATATTTTCGGTAAATTTAGAGGGGAATTTTTTCCGCTAAATTTAGCGGGGAAGTTTTCCGCTAATATAGCAGGGAAAGTTTCCCGCTAAACTTAGCGGGGGACAATTTTCCATTAAATATAGCGGGGAATTCTTTCCGCTAAATTTAGCGG